TGAACTGGACACGGCTCACGAGGAGGAGGATGGAGAGAAGGAAAACGAGACGGAGCCGGAACCCAAGCGCCGCACCAGGGGTGAGTGGCTGGAGGCAGGAGTCAAGAAAGATGCTGCTTTTATTAAAGCACATTCATACGGGACCTCGGACGGGGGCATGGCCTAGGGGACAGGAGACCCTGAAAGTTGATACCCCTCTTTCCTAGTCAGTATTTCCGGTCCCCAGAGCGGTAACACGACGGCCTCAACCAGGTTCCTCTCGCTCCCAGAGCCACTCGTCAACCACAGAATATTTTTGCTGAGTTTCATGCAGCAGCTGGAGCTCCTCCAGGGCGCGCAGCACAGAGGTCTTCAGCTCGCAAAGGGGAGGAAAGAGGCACCCCCTGGAAATTGCTGCGCCCGGAAAATGAGCTTCCAAAGTAGAACAAAAAGTGCCCCCAGAGTTAGAATTTTTCCGAACCCATGTGGCATACACCCAGACGTGTCAATTCACTGCTGCCGAGCCCAGTGGCATTTCAATAAGAATTAACTCCTTTTTCTTCTGTAGCGTTTTTCACATTATCCCCGTTTTACAGATGGGGAAACTGAGGCACACACACGGGAGCAGTCACTCCAGCAGGCCAGTGGCAGGGCCGGAAATTGAACTCGGGACTCCCGAGTCGCGAGTCTGTGCGCTAGCCACTAGGCAACACTGCCATTCTGTGGTGGCAGCGTCCCACTGCGGCATTGTGGGCAATGCCAGGGGGGAATTTTCCCTGTAGGCCTGAGGCAGTTAGCCAGCGCTGAAACTATGAAGGCTAAGTTAAGATACAGGCCTGGATGGGCGTTGAATTGCCTCTTGATACACCCAGCCTAGAGAGCCCAGGTTTGAGGGATTGTAACATGAGGCGCTGCATACGCTCTCTATGGCCGGCAGATCCTTTGCACGTGTCTCTCTTTGTCCCTTAGACTACAGGAAAACCAGCTTGGCTCCATATGTGAGAGTCTTCGAACAGTTTGTGGAGGAAATGGACAAGTCTCGCAAAGGGGAGCTTCTCAAGAAGAGCGGTAGGGACCGAGGAGGGGACTGGGCGGGGCCGCTCCTCTTCCAGGCTGCTCGAAACCTTTCAGGGCTCTCCCTTCTCCCCACAGAAATGTGGTCCTCACTTCTAAGCGTGGGAGGGGGCGAGACTGCCCAATGGTCAGCGCACAGCTGCCTGGGTTCTATTCCAGCTGTGTCCCCCTGGAAAGTGACTTCAGCTCCCCTTAGGTTGTGTCCTCCCTGCAGGTAAAAGGGGTGTTCTTAACTCTGGTTAAACCAGCTGAGGGATGAACTGGATTGCTCTCTTCATAGATTCTAGGACTGGAAGGGACCTCGAGAGGTCATCGAGTCCAGTCCCCTGCCCTCATGGCAGGACCAAATACTATCTAGACCATCCCTGATAGACATTTATCTAACCTACTCTTAAATATCTCCAGAGATGGAGATTCCACAACCTCCCTAGGCAATTTATTCCAGTGTTTAACCACCGTGACAGTTAGGAACTTTTTCCTAATGTCCAACCTAGACCTCCCTTGCTGCAGTTTAAGCCTATTGCTTCTTGTTCTATCCTTAGAGGCTAAGGTGAACAAGTTTTCTCCCTCCTCCTTATGACACCCTTTTAGATACCTGAAAATTGCTATCATGTCTCCTCTCCGTCTTCTCTTTTCCAAACTAAACAAACCCAGTTCTTTCAGCCTTCCTTCATAGGTCATGTTCTCAAGACCTTTAGTCATTCTTGTTGCTCTTCTCTGGACCCTCTCCAATTTCTCCACATCTTTGTTGAAATGCGGTGCCCAGAACTGGACACAATACTCCAGTTGAGGCCTAACCAGCGCAGAGTAGAGCAGAAGAATGACTTCTTGTGACTTGCTCACCACACATCTGTTCAATGAGAACGTAACCCAAAAGGTTGTGTGTCTTAATGCCCATCAACTCCTGCTTACCGCAGCGATACTCAGACTGGGTAGCTCTTCGGTGTGTCTCCTGTGGCTCTTTGCAGCACATATTAAAACACCGTGATTTAATTATTAGCCCATCAGGATGCTTTTGTTGTGTTATTAACCGATTGTAGTTGATCAAGTAATAGTACCTGGTCAGTCATTTTGCTGTGAGAATAATATATAGGTTAAATATTTCCCCGTCATTCCGTTTCAATATGAATATAGAGCACCTGTTGTCAATGAAACAGTGAATTGACAGGCGGTGGCTCTGCTGGGTACTGCTGATCGCTGATTTGCCTCCTGAACCGCTGAGGTCTGAGTATCACTGGCTTAGAGGAAAAGGAAGGCAGACGTATAATCCACAGGCGCAGCTTTCTCTGTTGTTTAAGATCCCGTGTTTCTTTCCTCTAGACTTACAAGGAGATTTCTGAGGACTCTGGTGTCTCCAGTGGGGAAATCTACATCTGGTATGTCCAACCAGCCGTTACAAGAGCTCTGAGCGGGATAGCGGACTGCTCTAGTTACCTTATTCTTCTTGGCATTAAAGGCTTTACTCAGCAGACTTCGAAGAAAAGGAAACCCAGCTGGTCTTGCCTACTGGAGAGAGAGGATTTGGATGTTCATTTTGCAGGGGCCAGCGTGAGCCTGGGCTTGGAGCGTGCGCTGGGAGGGGACTACGCTGTGGATTGTTGGCAAGAAATGAGAACTGCTTCCTTTTGCGTGAGGCGACGGGGCATGGGCTGATGTCAGTTCCTCCCCTCGTCTGCAAACAGCAGGCGGCTTAACCCACCCGCCCCGTTTGCCGGCACGAGGGCAAGGCGGAATTTTACCTACCTGACCAAGAGCCATTGGTAAAGTGGGAATTTGGAGAGAGGGGATCCCAGCTGGCTGATTCGAGAGCAAGGGAGGTATTCTCATCGGCTGATGGATTCCGAGGGTGCAGAGGTCTGGAATCGGCACCTGGCTGATGCCTGCAAAAATGACCCACGGGTTTTCTTTCTATCAGGATAACTCTGCTGCTCTGGGGCAAACCATTATTAATGGAAGAAGCTGCCTGACAGCCCCAGATGCATGAGATTGGACCGTTGTATTTGTCATTTCTAAGCAATGGTTCCCCGGGCCCAGCTCTTCCAGATTTCGACCTCCACTGACTTATTCCAGACATCCGAGGCTACTCCAGTTGTCCCTCCTCTTGCTTAACGTTCCCTTCTGGCTGCAGCCTGTGTAGTCCTCTCCCTGCTGCAGGGTTTAATTCGCAAGCTCTCGAGTGACTCCAGGCAGCTGGGTCTGATGGCCCAGTAGGAGGCGCTCTGTGTATCCTTCTTTTGTACTTTTTTATGCAAAAAGAAAACGATTAAAGGGTTCCGTTAAAGACTGTGTGTCCTTTTGGTGGTGGTTGTGCTGCGGGCTGCTGGTTGGGTTCACGGGGCCTGGCTGGGAAGTTATCCAGTGATCTGAAAAGGTCACTAGACCCCCATGTCTCAGGGGAAAGAGCAGCGGTGGGCTTGCAGCTAGGTACAGGACTGGAAAGATCTGAGGGATACAGTGAGCAATAGGTACGTGGGTCCCTGGCTTTTCCATTTCCTTTGTTGCTCTCTCTTTTGTTCTAATGCTGAGGTTAGTCATCAAAGTAAAGAAACAAACATGACTCAGGAGTGGGGTAAAGTAAGTATTCTCTTGCCACTCCCGTTCTCCCAGAGCCCTTTGGCCTTTAAAGGCTCACGGTCAGATAGTTTAAGTGCTGGGGTTAGCTGCTGCTGTTTTTTAACCCTGTCCTTTTCTAGACAGCCAGTCATTTAAAGTCATTGCTAGACTAATCAAGTTGCGAGAGTGCCCCCTGCTGACCTTCCAGGGACTATCCACTGGAGTCAATTTCTGAAATTGACCCAAAAGTTATTCCAGACCCGGCACCATCCCCCTGCCGGCATCTGTGGGTTTAAAATCACATTTTGTTTTTTCATAGCTGTTAAAGTCGGTTAGATCATCTCAGCTGACCCCCTGTATAACACAGGCCAGAGAATTTCAGCCAATGACTTCTGCATTAAATCCCCTAACAGGTGTTTGACTAGAGCACATCTTCCAGAAAGTGGCCCACTCTTAATTTGAATCCATATGCCTCTGTAGGGACACGGGGGTCTAGCTTTTTGGCTCCATTTGCAAGATTGGAGCTTTCAATGGGGGAACACACGGCAGGGCAGAGATCTCACCTATGTACAGCCCCAGCACGGGTTGGGCACAAATTGGAAGAGAGAATGATTTTACTCTCGTGCATCCCTCTTACAGGAATCTCAGAGAGGTTGTGTTTCCTAGTGGACAGAGCACCACACTGGGAATCAGGAGACCTGGGAACTGAACTCCCAGTTCAGTGGGGCAAATCACTTCACCTCCCTATACCTCAGTTTCCCCATCTTTAAAATGGGGATAATGATAGTAGATCCCAAAGGGAAGTCACTGATCAGAGCTAGGGGTTATTGTTTGTACCAGTAGAAAATAAAAAGTTCAGACACACTTCTTAAGTTGAAAGCTTCCTCTTTTTGGCCTGCCCTGGACCCAGACTCAGAGGGATGGGCGAGTCAGAAAGGTCTCAGGAAGATCAGTGTGAGGGTCATTTGCATCGGTTTAGCTAAAGAGGTGAATTTAAATGAGTTTAGACTCTCTGTGGACGCTCGCTTAAGTGGAGTAGGACTAGGTTTAAGCTGAACTGCAGTAAACTTCTCAAATCAAAGTTGGAGCACCTCCAGTGGCGTTTGCACAATTTAACTAACCTGGGAGTAAGCAGGTGCCCAGTTTTGGGGGAGGGAAAGGAGAGGGTTTGTGTCTGACAGTGAGGGCAGGTTTTCTAGAACAGTGGTTCTCAACCAGGGGTACGCAGAGGTCTTCCAGGGGGTACATCACCTCCTCTAGAGATTTGCCTAGTTTTACAACAGGCTATAGAAAAAGCACTACCGAAGACAGTACCAACTAAAATTTCAAACAACTTGTTTACAGAGCTTTCTAGCTTATACACTGAAATGTTAGTACAATATTTATATTCCAATCGGTTTATTTTATAATTAGATGGTAGAAAGGAAGCCATTTATCAGTAACAGTGTGGCTGTGCCGCTTCTGTATTTTTATGTCTGATTTGTAAGCAAGTCGTTTTTAAGTGAGGTGAAACTTGGGCGGAGGCAAGACAAATCCGACTCCAGAAAGGGGGACAGTCGTCTGGAAAGGTTGAGAGCCACTGGGCTCTTTGGAAAATCTGACCTCCGTGGGGCAGGGAGACGCCACGTTCCTTAATCGCAAATGCAAACCTCCATCCCAGCTGCATCTGTTACCCCGACAGAGTGCGAGATAACGGGGCCGGGGAGCAGACTAACCCCCAGCTCCCTCCTCAGGGAGCCCCCCCCCCGGCCACAGCCAGAATGGGGGTGGGGGCAGAACCGGCAGCAGGTCCTTGGGACCCCCCACCTTGGGGGTGCAGGTCCTGGCAGAGATGGGAGAGTAACATGAAATAGCCCCTGGGTGGGGGAAATATGGGGGGTCCTTTAAAGCAGGGAGCAGCCCCTGGGACTAAGTGGGGGGTCCCCTAACCCTGTTGGGGGAGGGCAGGGAACAGCTCCTGATGGGGGGAGGGGCCTCTGGGAAAGAGGAGGGAGGTGCAGGGAACAGCCCCTGCCTGGTGGGGGGGCTCTGGGAAAGAGGAGGGAGGCGCAGGGAACAGCCCCTGCCTGGGGGTGGCCTCTGGGAAAGAGGAGGGAGGTGCAGGGAACAGCCCCTGCCTGGTGGGGGGGCTCTGGGAAAGAGGAGGGAGGCGCAGGGAA